ATGGTTTTCAGCCCCAACTTCCCTCCGCCGCCGCCCGGCGCCGCGCCCAAGGACACGCAGCCGGAGCCCTCCGCTCTCCTCCACACGGTCAGTGCTCCTTCCTTCATTCCCTTCTCTGCTCCTTTCCCTCCGCCCTCTTGAGAAGCTGCTCTTTGAAGCCGGGCTCAGTTCGCACGGCTTATGGGCGTTGGATACTTAGCGGCTCCTTAGGGTTGGCAAAGGCGCATTTGTATCTGTCAGCCCTACCTTGCTGGATCTCCCAGCTCTGTCTGAGTGTGTCCAGAATATAGATTCAGGAAGCATCCGTGAGCAGTTCCTGTAGACAGGTGTGGTTTGTTGCCCTAAATGTGAACTCTGCTCTTGAACGGAATTACTTTTCTGTGTTACTAGAGGTGCCTGAAGGTTTGAGATTTGCAGACAGTAAGGGGGTTTCTATTTCTCATGTGTAGCATTTCCACCCTGTTTGAGTGAAGGAGTTCAAGACAGCCAGGCTGTGTTGGTGACAGACGCGCAATCGCTGTGGACAACCTCATTGCCATTGCTGACTGATAACCGTGCTGGTATCCATTTGTCTTTTAATTGAAAACTGCCCTCCTCCTTTTTAATTATGGTCATGTGAAGGTATGTTGCATGTGTAAAGTAGATATTCAAGGAAAAAAATTCTCATTATCGTTTCTCTATAAGACTCCTTTAGAAAATGGGGTAGTAGTGGCCTAGGGTAGTGGATCTTCCTAAGTTTGCTTTGTAAGAATCATGCTGTTCTGGTTAGCAAGTATAAAGCGTTCAGTGTATGACCTAAGAGATGTGCTTCACAAGGGAAATTTTTCTGCTGTTTTCCTCTTGCTCGTGTTTTTGAGGATTTGAATTTTTGAGCTTAGAGGTAGTGTACACGGTTCTTTTCTGATGTTCTCTCAAAATTTGCATCAATTGTTACATCAATGATCAAGACTTAAAAGGGCCTTGAAAGTGGTAATTTTCACTTCTGTAATGAACAAACAAACATATAGCTCCCAAAAACAATTAATCACCTTTCCTCACCCATTTTTAAGTAACATTCTACAACACAGACAGTATCATGTATTAGTGTCCTTGCCAGAGTTTTGGTGCTTGGAGCACAAAATCAATGCCAGTGCTGTTTAGAGGTTCCAACATCACCTTTGATAATAGTATTCCAGATAAGGAAGCATTAGAAATCATGAGGTGTCAGCAGCAG